TTAAACATGTTCTAGACTATATTTGCCCTAGATATCTCGTTGTGCATGTCTCCACATAAATCTGACTCTCATTATCCCACCTTCATAATTTTGTGTCAGTGCTTCTTTAAACCTTGTCAAGTGTCAGGGTTCCTATAAGTCTTTTTTTTATTCTTGCAAAGGTGGTTTCGCTGCTGGGGAGGGGTTTTACTGTAAATATACTTATTCAGGGGAAATTCACACTCCCATGGAGCCCGGTTTTGAGGTTGAATCGACATATTACCGTCAGATCTATTCATCATTTTTCATGGTTAAAAGCTGGTCGCACCACCTTGTAGGCTTTAGATATAGTAAATTTTCAGACAACCTCTTTTACAGGTTATTACTAACATTATTACTAAATAACCACTAACGTTTTTTCTCCTCCGCTTTCTGCCGTTTCACTAGCACATCCAGAAAAGAAAGAACGTTGTTCTTTTCATGTTCCAGAGTGAATCTCCGGCTCAACGTTCCATGGTGAATTGACCGGTTCAAAGAAAAACATTCTTCCTTGATGTGCTAGTGAAACGGCAAAAAGCAGGGATGGAAGGATGTCCGAGATTCTCGGTGTACTGAAAAATTTATGCACACCGGATGATATCAGCAGTTCAGTTCTCACCACCTGACCACCCACAAAGCATCAGTGGTGAGCACACTTCTAAGTCATGCAGGGGCCATCTGCGATGCCAAAGAAATGTGAAGAAAAAAAAAAAGAAGCGATTATCACTGACCTAATGGACAATGATTACTCGAAGAGCTTCATTCGCCGAGTACGCCAGCGACGTGACAGCCGGGAAAGCGCCCCTTCCTGCGTTCTTCTGCAAAGGGTGACACTAACAATGAAGCCTCTACCAAACATTCCTATCGCATCTCGGTCCCATACGTTCCGGGAATGAGCGAGCAACTGTCCAGGGTGCTGGGGAAGGAAGGCATCCAGGTGGCGTAAAAACCCGTTTCAATATCTGGGCGACTTTTGCCGCGACTAAAAGACCGGCTGCCAGAATAAATATTTCTCGGGCTAGCCTACGAGGGTTCATGCACGAACTGATGCCACTTACATCAGTGAGAGAAAAAACTTCCTTGAAAGGATACGGCAGCATCAAAATGATGTGCGAGGCTTTAATGTTGCACCAAACGCTTTCGCAGTACACAGATGGATCATCACATTGATTTTGATGCTGCCAAAGTCATCGACACGGAAAGTAGTCGCACAAAAAGACAGTTCTTTGAGCCCTGGCATATCGAAACAACACCTGGAAACATCACCCACTCAACTGGAAGCTTATCGAGTGTATAATCTATGGAACCAATGGAAAAAACACAGCAGCCACAAGAACGGCAGGAAGAAGGAGAGGACGACACCACCAAGAAAATGCTTCGGAACCAGTGAAATAGTCATCCCCGAAGAAAGGACCGAATCAGTCCCGAAACGTCGGGTCAGTTTATAGTTTAGAGGCGAAGCACCTTACAGTCGAGCCTTGTCCCTCGGAAGTCTCTTGCACTGGCTTGCACGAGCTCGGAGCGCCAGCCGTGAGCGCGCTGATCGTAGCTAGAACGGGACAACAGTGATCACGAGTGCGCTTGCAGAAATTTTTTCTTTCTTGCTGCGGTGCCCGGCTTTCTCTCTCCCATAGTCATGGAGTGTACTTCGTTATGAGCCCCGTATTCAAAGAAAAAAAAAAAAAAAAGACGTGCTCAAGGCCAACAGGTGTGTGTGACATTTTCTTTCGCTGTGACATTCCTATCTGCTTAACTTCCAGCTATTTCTTCGGGACAAGAAGAAAGAATGCAATAGTAGCGTGCGACAATTTTTTTGAACTCCGCTCGTACTGGACTGACTCTAGATGCTTTGCGGCGGTAAATTTGTGAGGCAATAAGCATGTTTACTGGCTCCATGGCTACTTGAAAAAGTGTTGCAGGGCCCCTTTGAAAGAACATGTTACCCTCAAGTCAATTCTTTATTTTATTAAGCTTGTTATGACGGCTTATGTGCTCCAAGTATAATAAATATTGAAATGTTAAGTATCTTGCAGGTTATCACTCGCATCCTACTGAAGCTACCACTCAAGGTTGTTTGGACTTTCTTTGATCGGAAAAAAAACAAAGGCATTTGCATAAAGCCCCTATTTCAATTCAAAAGAAATATTGTGCAGGTTAGTTAGGTATGATAAATATTCCTTTATTTTATCATATGTCATATATACCATTCGAATTTGATTCCAAATTATTCGATCAAAATAGCTATTTACTTCGAACCTAAAATTCATTATTGGCACAGGCCTACTTACGTATAGCATAACATCAATGCTTCTCTAGTTGCAGAGGCCCTTATTGATGTGATACCTGCAAAACTTCGTCATATCTGTGTTTGTTACACTAAGGTCGAACTATACAATGGTCAACACACGTCTAGAATGACGAAGCGGTGCGCTCGAAACATCACAAGTGACATCTTGACTGCTTTTCAACTTATCTTTACTGCTTTGGCCATCAGAAGCGCTCTAAAACGGTATAGCACCAAGAAATTGTTTGGATCGGCACATTTTAAGCTATTAACCTATCCCCGGTTCGTGGTATCATGTCATATGCTGAGAGCAGTACGCTTCAGGGTTTTCTTCTATGATTTATTCAGAGAGCTTTGAACGGTCAAAGTGGTTGTTCCGTCCGCGGCCCTAAGCAAGGATAAAAATTGCTGGGGAGGGATATATTGGCAAAGCACATGCTCCGATAAAACTTATTTATGACTGCAGATGTCACTTGTGCAGTTCCAAGCACGATGCTTTGTAATTCTAGACATCGGAATCGATTACTGTTCAATTTTCTTACTTTTTACTGCTGTATACTGTGACAGTCTGTCTCTTGCATTATCCCTCCGTGTTTTGCATGTTACTTGCACTGTTTGAGAACTGTATTGTCATGTTTTTACCGCTGCAAAGCTTAATACTGTATTACGTAATGAACGCACTCCAAACTTCAGTTGTCAAAACGGGTTTTTTTTTTATCCCACGTTATAAGCGCACCGTCTACATTTGTCCACTGAAGTTCCATTAACAGACACTTGGTGGCTCCTTGCCTGTTGGATCTTTCATTTTTTATTATGCCGAACTTCCTTGGCCACCTCGGCTCGCTCCCTCTCACCCCACTCGCCCGCTGCCGCACATTGTATTGTTGTTTTTCTATCGGCGCCCAGCACATCCCCTGTCTTTTTTTATTACCTGTTCGCCACAACGAGGTTCCCGAACGGTGCGAGTGTAGAGACATTGCAACTGATAAACACACAGTGAAAGGTCAGGAAACTGCCCACGCTAACGTACGGTCACTTCCTGCAAGTACGAAACTTCAAGGCCCAGCCACATTCCCGAGATTTTCAAGCGATGACGACAGGATTTGCTCTCGCCATTGCTGTCGCGAAAGGCCATTCGTCGCCATCGCCTTGCAAATTTCTGGAAAACCAGAAACAGTCCCTTTTTGCCCAAAAAACATCGTGACCATTTGTGCAACATGGTAGCATCCCCGATTTTTCACTTGGGTTGAAATTGCTCTTAATGCTTGTTATAAACGCATACTTCAAGGAACGCCAGATATAGGGTACCTTTTTTTTTACAGAAACTTCTCATATGAACAGCCAGACGGCAGCCGTATTCTGTCGCTAATCTTTTTATCGACGGTTTGTTTTGACGCTTCAGTGGTAGCTTGCTGCCATGTCAATGACGTCGTCCCGGTTGTCGTGTGAGGTTTCCATGAAGTTGGCCAAGTGCGTCATAGTGCACGCTTCTGGGCACCCCTCAAGATTACTGCAGATACCACTGTTGCGGTTAAACCATTGCGAGAAAAGAAAGCCGCAAAATGGTTTTATGGAGTGCACAGGTGGCGCAGAGACAGCTTGCAGAAGATAACGCCTTCAACCACCTGAAGATAAGTGAAGTGCAACAAACAGCGTACGCATAGTCAATTGCAAAAGGCTAAGCGGCCTAATTTTTTTTTTTGCATTACTGCATTTTTCGCTAATCCCAAAAAATGTTTTCACAACATTTGCTCTGCTTAATAATTGAGTCCCCTACTTTGCTCCTATGTTTTTAGAATAAAGTGCTTTCCTTACCCGAGGAAATATTGTATTACATAACAGTACAATTTTGCTTGGTTATGTGAGTTTGTATAAAGTTCTCTGTGTGTGTGTATGTTGCATTTTGACTAATGGTGTATGGGCTGGTTATTTTAGTGCCTCAGTTATTGTTACTGTATGTTGTTCACTGCTATTCTATGTGTGTGCTCAAGACTTTGACTTGTACGCTGCTGCTGTTCGTGTGTACTTAGTTTATAATGGACACTTACTTTCAAGGGAGTGCTGACAACTTTAAATATTTTCAGGTTGTTGCTGTAATAGGGACGCTGGTTTTCAGTAGCCTAAAAAAAGTGTCAAAGTACTTGGGAATGCATTGAATATATTACCAATGCCAGTAACTTGAAACAACAGTTTCAGATTTAATATTAACAGTGACGAGTCTACTCAAGTTTGACTGCACACAAAGGCTGAAACTTGTGAAACACTAGCAAAAACTATGAATTTTCTGTCAATATTAATTGCACGCAGTTCATGTAAACATTGACAAATGTTGTCCAGCAAGTCTCACAGCGATTTCTGAAATTTAAGCTGCATACACGGCACAAATTTTGCAAGCCCAGTAAACTGTGTTGACTTGTCGTGATAATGTTTTGCTGTGGTGGAACTGCCTAGTGGATGCTTGGTGACGAGAGCCTTAAAATCAAAGTGAAATATTTCACCCTTTATTCTGGCTCCGGTGTGGGGAGAGTGTTGATAGTACACACATTGGATAGGAAAAAAATGTCCCTTTTGGGGTGCCTCAAAATTTTGTCAATACTTCTTTAAATACTGCCCCCTTACACTGTGGCTTATCTCAGACATGTAAGTTTAAAAATAAAATAGGTCAACTATGAGTAATGCTTGGGGCATGCTGCCGCAGGCGGAGCTGGAGGCAAACCTGCAGAACCTGCATGAGCGCAATGAAGAGCTGAAGGAGCTCATACGCAAGGTTGAAAATCAAGGAAGCATCAACGTTGATGAGGCAGTCGTCACTACTGCGCCGCTCTACAAGCAGTGAGTGTGGTTGCACTTTGCCTATTTGGAATAACACAGAGCTCTTAATGGAATCCAGATTACGCGACATGCAAAAGCGTCATTTACTGGCCGAGACAGCCCAACGAATGAGTATGAACTGCAGCATGAGAGTTCCCAAGGATGGTGGATTACATCATTTTAAAAAAAGGACAGCGAAGCACTTAATTAGCTAATCTTTATTCTGACTTTTATTGTCACCCCTGTAAAGGCACTTTCAATGCATTTGAGGGATGCAATACTGTCATTACACCTATCCAGGCAAAATATGCACTGCCACAAGATACATCAATAAAACCAGTTAATTGAACATATTGTTGCGTGAAGGCACACGGGAAACTGGGCATTCTAAAATATATTTACACAGCCCTAACGTGCAAGCCAAGATGGAGAACAAGAGTGCGCTCTACACCAAAATCACGTCGTCTTCCTTGGCGCCTATCTCACTGTTTAAGTGGAACATTGTCTCGCAACATAACCCCCAGGTGCTAAAGCACCGTCTCGGGGCTTTCTATGATGTTGCCGAGTGGTAAAGCTTTAGGGGGATACATGAACAATGCCTGTAGACAGCGAAGTGGAGGCGAAGGAAGACTCGAGCACGGCTATCTCGTAGGTCACATTTGTCACCTGGCGCGATTCGTCGTATGGTCCTGAGCAGTTTTTCAGAAAGTCCAATGCGCCTAGTCAGAGTCCACAATAGCACAAGAGAACCCTGAGTAAAGGAAATTTGGTGATGATGTGAGTTGTAACGCTGCCGCTGGTGATCTTGCGATGCCAGAAAGCGCTGACGAGCAACTTCTCGTGCTTTGCGAGCTCTGGTGATAGCATCACGGGCGTATTCAGTCATCGAGTCGGTGGCTGTCGGAAAAATGGTGTTGAAAGTTAAAGTTGGATCACAACCAAACATGAGATAGAAAGGTGAAATACCAGCTGCATCATGGCGTGAGGAATTATAGGCAAGCGTAATGAACGGCAATGCAACGTCCCAGACCTGGTGGTTACACGATACGTACATAGCGAGTATATCAGTTAAAGTTCGGTTGAATCGTTCAGTGAGTTCGTTAGTTTGCGGGTGGTAGGCTGTCGTAAATTTATGTCTTGTCTCGCAGGAGCGAAGCAGGTCGTTAATAACTCGGGAAAGGAAATAGCATCCACGATCTGTGAGGAGTTGGCGTGGGGCACCATGATGAAGTGTGACGTTGTGCTGGGGGAAATCGGCAACGTCCGTTGCACAGCTGGTTGGTAGAGCCTGTGTAATGGCGTATCGGGTTATGTGATTTGTCGCGAAAGCTATCCGCTTATTCCCAGAGGTGGATGCAAGGAAAGGGCCGAGGAGGTCGAGATCAAGTCGAAAAAAGGGATCAAAGGGAACGTCAAGTGGTTGGAGGAACCTGGCAGGAGTCGTGAAAGGTTTTTTCTGGCGTTGACACTGGTTGCATGAGGCGACATAGCTGCGAACCGAGCGATAATGACTGGGCCAGTAAAATCGACGCTGTACACGGTCATACGTCTGAGACAGTCCGAGGTGACCGGCAGTGGGAGCGTCATAGGTTGATCACGCTTGCACGTAAGTGGGAAGGTACCACAAGGAGCAGTTCGTGTCCATCAGGGCAGACGTAATGGTACAGTGTGCCATCCTGAAGCACGAACAATCGAGTAGACAGATTGCGTGCCACAGAATGCAGCTTCTCGATGATGATACGCGATGGCACCACAAAGAGCAGTTTGCACCCATTTGTGATGACATTGTAGTAGTACAAGGTGCCTTCTTTAAGCACAAACAGTCGATTAGACGGTTGGTGCATCAGAGAGTTCAGGTTCTCAATAATTTCACGCAAGACGAAATCTCGGTGCTGTTCCTCATGGATATTGCCTAAAGTGGAGAGAGACAGTACACATGGCTGGTCACCTCGGGTGGGTCCACTGGATTATGAGATAAGCAGTCAGCGTCATGGTGTAAATGGTCAGATTTGTAGGACACCGAGTAGTTATACTCTTAGAGCCGTATTGCCCATCGACCAAGGCGCCCAGTGGAATCCTTCAAGGACGAGAGCCAGCAAAGTGCGTGGTGATCGATTGTGACAGTGAAATGTCGACCATGTAAATAGGGCCAAAATTTTGCTACTGCCCAGACAAGAGCAAAGCATTCCGTTTCGGTGATAGAGTAGTTCCTTTCCCCCTGTGACAAGAGACGGCTGGCATAGGCAATAACGCAGGTGAAGCCGCTTTGATGCTGGACCAAAACAGCACCAGTTTCATGGCCGCTGGCATCGAAGGGGACTTCTGTAGGGGCGGCAACATCGAAATGGGCCAGAACAAGTGGTTTTGTTAGCAATGCGATAAATGTAGAGAACGCTGTAGCCTGCGCAGCGCCTCCTGTGGATGAGACATCTTTTCTCAGTAAGTCTGTGAGAGGATGGGGAACTTCTGCAAAGTTGTTCACAAAACGTCGAAAGATCGAGCACAGACCGAGAAAGCTGAGGACTTCCTTAGTGCAGGTCGGAACAGAGAAGTTACGCACGGCTCGCACTTTATTGGGATCAGGGCGTACACTAGAGGAGTCGACAAGGTGGCCCAACATGGTTAGTTGCTGGCATCCGAAGTGGCACTTTGACGAGTTCAGTTGGATACCGGCATTGCGAAATACAGCCAGGAAAGGCGGTCGAGGTGGGTTTGAAAGATCGGAGAAAAGACGATAACGTCATCAAGGTAACATAGACAAATTGGCCATATGAACGCACGCAAAAGAGATACCGTGATCCGCTCGAAGGTGGCCGGAGCGTTGAATAACCAGAATGGCGTCACATTAAACAGGTAAAGACCATCAGGGGTGACAAAAGCGGTCTTCTCGCGGTCCATGTTGTCGACAGCAATTTGCCAGTACCATGATTTTGGATCAATAGAAAAAAAAAACTTCTGCCATGAAAACATTTTAAGGCATCGTCTATGCACAGTAGCGGGTAGACATCTCTTTTAGTGATCTTGTTCAGATATCGTTAGTCAACACATAATCGCTAAGTGTTGTCCTTTTTGACAACTACAGGGGAAGCCCATGGACTGCATGATGGTTCAATTATGCCTTTGGCGAGCATTTTGTCGACTTCTGCTTGAATTATGTGACGCTCGGTTGAAGATACGCGGTATGGCCGTCGATGGACAGGGGAGGCATCGCCGGTGTCAATGCGGTGCTTTACCGCACTGGTTTGACCTAGTGGACGATCACAAAAGTCAAATACGTCCCAGTATGACTCAAGGATGCGAAGTAGTGCGTCAGTTTGATGCGGCAAAAGGTCTGACGCTATCATTTTTTTAACGTCAGGAGACTGGCTTGCTTACGAAAATCGAGCACGTGTTTAACGAGAGTGTCCAGCATCGTTCGAAGACGGAGCTGAGATTACTCATTCGTCAGAGGGAGTCAGCATGGCGAGAGTGATTCCATGCGGGAGCACTTGTGGACACAAAGCAAGGTTGAGCACAGGAATACAGGCGCGGTTTACAGGTAACTGAATAGCAGTGTGTGGTAAAGTAACACTCTGAATCAAGAGAATGGATGTGATGGGTGCGAGCACATAGTCGCCATCGGATACAGGTGGCGAGGGTGTAACGGTGATGCAGGTCACAGTTTGCAGTGACAAACGAACATGCTCAGCAGAGCACATACAAGCTTGCTGTGGACAGGGCGAATAAATCGAACACGGTAGGTAAAATTGCACAATACCGGCTGAACAGTTGATGAGGGCGGAATGAGTGGACGAAAAGTCAAGACCGAGGATCACATCATTGGTGCAGTGAGAGAGAACAGTGAAAAAAATTGAAGTTTGACGGCCGGCAATAGTAAGAGGTGCAGTACAGACGCCAATAACAGCAGCCGTACTACCATCAGCAACACGAACACTGGGTGAAGGGGCTGGAGTATGCACTTTTTGCAAGCGGTCACGAATGTGCAGGCTCATCACAAAAATATGGGCGCCAGTGTCTACCAAGGCTTTAATTGATAAACCGTCCACTTTAACGGCGATCAGGTTCTGACTGAACGGGAGTGTCAACAGAGGAATTAAAAGAGCAAGTCGTATCAGCTGCGTCACCTCCAGGAGCTGCAGCCGTTAGTTTTTCGAAGAAAACCACTGGGAAGAGGACGGGGACAGGGAACGAGATGGCGGCGGAGACCGGGAAAGTCTTTGTCGAAGTGAAGGTGAGCGACTGTACTGAATAGTGGTCGTAGTGGTGGGGTCGTGATTAGCTGAGCCATCATGCCGTGGTGCTTCCTGGCCATAGAAATGAGCTGGTGAATGGAGGTTGGAGAAGCTTGGGTTTACCCGATACGGTGAGGTCCACGTGCTTCGGCAATCGTTCACATCGAAAGCAAATCGGCCTTTCAGGCGTCCTCCACGCATTTGGGTCACGGCTACGTGGAGCAGGGCGGCGATAATTCTGAGGGTGACTCGAGGTAGACGAACGGACAGCATTGGGACAGTGCACAGAACAGACCGTGTGAATACCCGCCTTGGCTAGTTCTTGGCGAACAATGGTCTGTATTAGCAATATGGTCGGCTTAGGATCACTCGTTGCCAGTGCTCTCAAAGGTGCGGGAGATAAGGCTTCGATTTCACAGCGTACGATTCTTGTGATGTCACCGAGTGTGAATTGGACAGGGTCGCTACACAGAGATCCTCACAAGTTGACGTCACAGCAGTGTTGGGATGCGCATAAAGTGGTGGGCAATGCGACGGCTTTTAGCCACTTGAAAGCGCTGGCACTCCAAGATAACATCTTGAACGGTGGAACAGCCTTTGCACTCAAGGAAGTTAAATGCATCGTCTGCGAATGCCCTTGAGCTTGTGCGCTACCTTGTCAGCTTCAGCCATGGTGCGGTTAACCTTTCTAGCAAAGGGTCAGCACATCTTGTATATACACAAGGTAAGACTCCGTGGACATCTGAATACTTGTGCCAAGTTATTTCTAGCGGCCTGCTTGCAGCCGGCAGATTGAACAAACGACTTGCCTAATTTGGTCTTGCATACGTCCCATCTTGTGATCGCGTCCACATTGTTATTAAGCCACGCCTTGGTCATTCCTTGCAAATAAAAGATGATGTTTACCAGCATCAAGGTTGGTTCCCACCTGTCACTTTCGCTAACAAGCTCGTAGAGTTTAAGCCACTCATTCACGTCCTTGCCGTTCGTTCCCGAAAAGTTGCCGGGATTGCGGGGTAGAGCAGCCACGAGATAAACAGGGGAGGTCGGGGCTGTTGATGCATTGGGCGCAGCAGTTGAGGAAGGGTCGTAGCCGGTGCACATGTTGGAAACAGCGACTAGGCGTCCGCTGCGTAACTTCGTCGTGCGTTGTAACCCAGCACCTGCACCAAAATGTTGCATGAAGGCACACGGGAAACTAGACATTTTAAGATATATTTACACAGCGCCAATGTGCAAGCCAAGATGGAAAACAAGAGTGCACTCTACACCAAAATCACGTTGTCTTCCTTGGAGCCTATCTCACTGCTTAAGTGGAACATTGTCTCGTAACAATATTACCTCGACATTGATTTATTATGTTTTCTTCAGTTTAAAAGCTTGTTATGCTGGCTTTTATGCTGTGTGTGTTGTAAATGTTGAAACATCATATATTTTACAAGTCAATATTTGCATTGTACCGAAAGTAAAATCCTGCTACTATGAAAGGTTGCATCCGCTTCTTTTTGAATAAAAAAAAATGTTTGCACATGACTTGTTCTGATTTCAAGATAAATTGTGTAGGTTAATTTGGTCATGACAAATATGTAACATGTGATATTTACTATTTGAATTGGATTCAATATTATTCAAACCAAATCACTATTCGCTTAACAAAGCCTAGTCCAACACAGCGCTGTGATTCGTTTGGTTGGGCTAACTCGGTGTGCACCTTCTGGTACTCAGTGTGCACCCTCTGGTACAAGGGACTCCAAGTAGTGGGGATATAGATTTTATTTCTACTTTGCTGTCATGAGGATTTACTGTATTGCAGGCTTGTCAATGCCTTTGCTGAGGAGAATGCTACGGAGGATGCAATCTACTATTTGGGCGAGGCTCTTCGCAAGGGGGTCATCGACCTTGATGTGTTCCTGAAGGTACATGTTTGCCCAGTTTATGGCCACTCGTGATCATTGGCTTGACCACCGTCATTTTCTAGATGTGTCTGATTCCGAGGTCATGTTTCTCTACTATAGTTGCAAAGGATGCGAGTTGGTAATATTTGCACTGTACATTAATCATGCTTTCACATTTATTCTTTAAGGACGAGAGCATTACTTAAGGGGTGGGTGATGAGATATGCAACACGGTGAACACCTTTACATAGTGTATGGCAGATGGGCTTGGGTTACAAGCAAGGTCGTTACAGTCGGGCAGCTGCTCGAAGAAAAAAATACGGTGCCAAGGTGACAGTGCAGACTGTACGGGCGGGTGTCACTCTTTATCAGGTGTCCCCGAAAGTGAAGCCAACTAGGACTAATTTTCTCTTCTTAAACCCTTTCTTTTTCTTTAAGTGCTTAAAGGTGTCATCCGCGCACAAAATATACCTGTAATCGCCCATTTTAAAGGGCAAGGCCTCAGATATCACTGTCATCGTAGATGGCGGCGAGGTCACTCGTTTTCCAGTTTTTTTCAATGGCAGAATGGTAGTGAGGAAAAATGAGAAAAGAAATAGGTTGCAGCATGAAGCTTTGCGGTCAGCTTTCATGCAGCAATCAATTTTGACGCCGTTCTGTGCAGCTAGGACCCCATGCAATGAATCAAACAATGCCTTGGGACGCAAGAAGCTATAACCGTGACAAGTTCTCGTTGCAAAAGTTCACATTTTCAGTAATGGCCGAGAACGTCAGTCAATGATTCTGACTTGCGTGCGATGCCAACAAGCATCTGACAAGAGCGAAGGCGATGAACGGTGACTAACCACCGGCAACGTCACATCGCAGTGATTTGTGGCTATCTGCTAGGCTGCGCGTGTGGCATGCACTACTGTTTCACGGCCGTAGAAACAGGCTACATTGCTTGAATGAAACCTACGTAGCTCGCTTGTTTTTAGTCGCGTGTTCACTAAGGAACATCAATGCATTGACAGCAAGCTGGCGATGCTGCGTGCCTATTTCATTAGATGACAACCCAATTATGCCACGCCTCGTCTTGCAGGACAGTGAGGGCGTTGCGGAGAGTGCGTCTTGCTTTTTAAAATGCTTGTCTTCGCCGCGTTTAGTGAACAGACCTGCCACACCCGTGCACAGTCCGGAGGGAAACAAGCAATAACTCACACACGTCCATGCAAGAAACAGTCGGGCAGTGACGGGGTGTATCGAGTAAGCGACGCGCTGAACTTAACAAGTCAGGGGTGATCTTCACCTTGTGGTGGTGCACGCTTCAGTGAAAGTTTCACCGGTGTGTGTCTCTTCATTGGTTACGTGGTTTAATTCACTCGTAAGCACGCAGTGGGCGTCGCTTCACGATGCGGGAAGGCTTAACTTGTCATCATAGTGGTTAGCACAAGTACGCAGAAAATTAGAAATGACCTGGTCGATCCGTGTACGTATTAAGGGCGAGACCATATACAATGAATTACTGATAAAACCACCACTTTTCATGACACTTAGGAGTTAATGGGTTCAATCAGTGGCGTACCAACTCTTTCGCAAGGGGAAGGGGGGAGGGGGCAAGTCTAACTCACTAGTCAGCCGGGGGTGTGTGTGTGTGTGTGTGTGTGTGTGTGTGTGTGTGTGTGTGTGTGTGTGTGTGTGTGTGTGTGTGTGTGTGTGTGTACACACACGTTAATGCGTTACTCGAAAGTCGCAGGTTTGGTTCCTGTCCATGGCAAGTTATCTTTTCAGCCACTTTTCTGTCTTCGTATTTACATTACGATTCAGTCTAATATCTTCCCCTACACTTTTCTTGGCATTATTGCCTGTTAGATGTCATTAAGATTGTGTAAAAGTCGGAAAAGATGAGCCCTTAAGTGTACACTTCTTTCCTTAATTCACTAATGAGGGTCTCGTACTGGCAGACCTAGTGCCTTGAGGCTGTATATGAGGGACTATAGGTCAGCTGCTCGCTCGTAATAAGTTCACATGCTATGGGACGCCAAACAGGCTCAAAACAGTGTGCCACACTCGCCGCCATGGCTACTGGTGGCGCTGACTGACACTTCCACGTTTAAATTCACATATTTATTTATTTATTTGTTACATACTGCTGACCTGTTTACCAGGTCTTGGGCAGGAATGGGCATACAAAAATGTTTACTACAAAAACATAATTGACATCACACAGCATACTGACAGTGGTTACAATTCAACACTTTTGTATTAATTAAAGAAAAACATTACAACAATGGCATAGCTTTGCTGACTGAAACGTGCTAAAAAAAAATTCCGCCATATCCACGAAGTGAATGATGATGAGTGGGCGAAGCTCCGGAGGTAAACCTGGTAAACCATGAATCCTCTGTACATTTTGCCCACTTGATTTTATTACATCGCTCCCCCTAGCGTACGTCGCCTCACTAAATCGAACGATTGCCTTCAACCAATGACACACGCCATATGTGACATCATTCCTATTTTATAAGATCTCGCGTCTTTCATCAACTACAAGTACCGCTTTCTAGTTTATAACATCTTGCATCTTTTCATCATCAGCTACAAGTACCACCATCTAGTAAACACTACAAGAACTAAACGAGAGGTGGCTACATACAGGAGACGGTACCGCTATCTAGTGAACACTGCAAGAACTAAACTAGAGGTGGCTACATACAGGGGACAGTACCGCCATCTAGTGAACACTGCAAGAACTAAACTAGAGGTGGCTACATACAGGCTACAGGGGACGCACAGCCCACGCCCTAAGGAGCTTCGTCCCTAAAAAATGGAAGCAATGTGTAACTCTGGGCGGCATGACTGTACAAAAAAAAAAAACTGTTAGTGGTTATTGAGAGCATGTAGAAATAAATCAACTGTTGGACACTGTACAGCAACGGGTGATAGGCAGTTCCACTCACGGGTAGTTCTTGGAAAAAATGAATACCTGAATGTGTCTGTGCGGTTTACGTAATCTAAAACTTTCTTTGAATGATGTGAGCGCACAGCATATTCACTTATTTGTCTATTGTGCACTGTTTTGTTGATACCAATTTTGTTGTGGAAAATGAGGTAAAAAGTTTCAGCCTCTCCATTCTTCTTCTCTCCTGTAGTTTTTCGAGATCTGCTTTAATTAGTAGAAGTGAAGGAGAAGTACGCCAACTATAACAATTAAAAACAAATCGGACAGATTTTCTTTGGACCATTTCCATTTTTTTAATATTGGACTCTGTAAAGGGATCCCACACTGCAGCTCCATATTCTAATACTGGTCTAATGAAAGTTTTGTACGCCAGAAGTTTGATGTGTGGTGTGGCATTCACAAGCCTCCTTCGCAAATAGTCAAGCTTTTTCATTGCCTTTCTTTCAATATTTTCTATGTGTTCATTCCATTTTAAGTCTGATGTGAGTATGAGTCCTAAATATTTGTGTTTAGTGACTTCGGATAACGCATGGCCATTGACGTGATAGGTAAACAGAAGCGGCTGTTTCTTACGCGTAATTCGCATTGCTACAGTTTTTTTATAATTAATTGTCTGCCAATTTTCACACCACATTTGTAGCGTTGCTAGTGCAGTATTTAAAGATTCTTGATCACTGTAACTATAAATTTCCTGATATAGTATACAATCGTCCGTGAAAAGCTTTATTTTTACGGGCAAGTTTAGCACAATATTATTAATAAATAACAGAAAAAACAACGGCCCCGAAATTGACCCTTGAGGCACACCCGATTTCACGGGGGCGGAACTCAAAGTGACACCATCAATGGCAACACATTGGCTCCTCATTAAAAGATAAGCAGTTATCCGTGCAAGTAATTTCTCATTTTTCAGAATTGGTTTGAGCTTAATTAGTAATTTCTAGGTGACTCACACGATCGAAAGCTTTCTCAAAATCCAATAATATAACACCTACTTCACCATTCTTATCGATCGCTGCTGCTAGGTCATGAAACGTCTCAATAAGCTGGGTTACCGTAGAATACCCTTTGCGAAAGCCGTGCTGAAGGGGCGCGATTAGGTTATTTCTTTCGACAAACATAGACAAATGTTTGAATATTATATGCTCTAAAATTTTGACACTAGTCCATAGCAAGGAGATAGGCCTAAACGAGGATACAAGCGAATGGTCATCAGTTTTTGGTACTGGAGTGATCTTAGCGTGTTTCCAATCACTCAGAAGTTCAGCGCACAGGAGAGATGATTTAAAGATCAAGCATAGGTATTTGGCATTCCATTCAGCATACCTTATCAGAAAGGCGTTAGGTACAGAGTCAATGCCCAGTGACTTTTTTGGATCGAGATTAAGCAGAAGCGATAAGGCACCCCTTCAGCTATACAGACATCATCGATAGGTGGCATGGTGTCATAGGTGATGAAATCAGGGGTAATGTCATTATCATGCGTGTACACCGAACAGAAGTATTCATTCATCGCCCCTGCTATTTCCCTCTTGTCTAATAGATAAGCTTGATACTGGACTTTTTTTGGGTGAAAGATATTGCCAAAACTTATTTGGTGACGTCAAGAGAAAGTTTGTCAAAGCCTCGCTTTGATATTTTTCCTTTGCACTTTTCAATTTGACTTTCAGTGTGTGACACATCTTTGATATATTATCTAGTCCAGGCAATGATGTTCGTTTTATTTGTCGCTTTTTTGCCTTCTTTAGCTTGCGCCCTAGGCGTACGATTTTTTTCGTAATCCAGGGACCAGACCGGTTTAATACCTTGCGTTTGTGAGGAACAAAGTTTTGGATGCATTTAATTACTAGGTCTTTGAAACAGCACCACAATCGCTCAACAGAACATTCACTTTCTTTAGAAAGCATTAGCAAATCGGAATGAGAATTATCAAGAGCGTCTATTATGTCCTCATCACTAGCACGCGAGAATACGGGTACAAAAACGGTCTTTTTATCAGGCATTTTAGCATAGTACAGTTGAAAGCTTAATGACACAACTTAATGGTACAAAATGCCATCAAAAATTTCTATTACCGGGCTGTGGTTATATATACCTCTACTAACAAGAAACAGGTCTAAAATTGTGCTAGATTCGTTTTGAATTCGAGTGGGCGTTTTCGTAAGCTGCGTCAAGTCATGAAACAGCAAAACATCAAGAAAAGATACAGATGCAGCAGAGATGGCATGTGGAAATTCATCCGACCAATTTATTATGGTAAAATTAATGTCGCCATCGATTAAGACGTTGCAACTGCTTGTTTTATACTGACACCAAAACTCATTTAATTGTTCCACAAACTCATCACCACAATTGGGCGGACGGTAAAATCACCCAACGACAACATGTAGCTCATCAAATAACACTTTACCGACAACACATTCCATTCCCTTAATATTGGGTAATCGTGTCACATATAGCGATTCTCAAAACATGATGACAACACTGCCACCACGGGAATCTCTGTCATTACGGTACATTTTGTAGCCTGGTGGCGTTATTTCATCATCACCTATGTCTCGGTGTAGCCACGATTCTGTAATTATTAACATATGCGGTTTGTGGGCTATTATTACACTTTCTAATTCAACGACCTTGTTAATCAAACTATAATCCCGATAAAGAGGCTGGGGGGATACCTGCCATGGTAGCTCAGTGGTACAGCATCGAACCCGTTACTCGAAGGCCGCAGGTTCGGTTCCTGCCCACGGCAAGTTTTCTCACCCACTTTTCTTTCTTCATATTTTCATTACAATTGAGCCTAATATCTTCCACTATACTTTCCTTAGCGTTATTGTCTGTCAGATCTCATTAAGACTGTATATATATATATATATATATATATATATATATATATATATATATATATATATATACACATTCATACATACATACATACACACATACATACCTACAAGGAAAATCATCAAAGTGTCAATGTTGCCAAAACTTCACTACATTGTAACATAGCCTCATAAGAATTTCATTTTCTCGTAGGAACATGATTGAGTAATTACTATTGTGATGTAAAACTATGCCTTACTTGTTCGTTTCCCCAGCGTGCAGCCAAAAGTGACCACTGTCGAAAGTGGGGGGGCTCGCACCCCTCTTGCCCTCTCGGCTGGCACGCCTATGGGTTCAATTAAATCCATAGTGTTCAAGTTTATTCAGTGATATATTGTGGTCCACTGAATTGAAGGCTTCTCTCTATATCTAGGAACGTGCTTATGATGAATTAATTATTGTTTAATGCAAAGTTTGCTGTTTCTGCCACGGACCTTACCGCAGCAGCCATACTGTGTTCTTCGAGCCATGTTGAATGAAAGTAGGGATACCCTATTTTGTATCACAACTAATCATTTATTGTTTTTTTTCAACAAGCTTTTTAAAAATAGTGTTCATGCAAGATAGAATCGTTATGAGGTGGTAACTTACTATGTTGTCAGGCCATCTGCCGTTGTCAATTTAAATGGTCATTTTTCGCTCTCTATGGCATGGTGAAAAAAAAATTTGGTGGGCTTCTGGCTCCACAGAACTGCGAATGGCCATTCTGCGCATCGGCAGCGGACCACTAGGCTCGGAGCAGCAGTGGCAGCGACTAGCAGTTCGCATGTCGGTGCCCCAAGATGCAAGGCCAAGCACGCTGCACGCCGATTTTTTTGTTCCCTTAGCTAGGCAGAACTGACCATCAACAGACCGGTGAATCGCCATGTTGATATTTCTCTGGCTAATCGTTCCCAGATATTTCTCTGGCTAATCGTTCCCATCTTGAAAGTGTGCCAAGGGATGTTTTCAGTGGGAAGTTATTGAATTTGGGATGTCCATAGTTGAAAAGTACGCTCCAAAGGAGTCCTGACCACCTTGCTGGCTTCACATTTTAGTCAATCATATCCGAATGTTCGTTGTATTAGAATTCATAGTAAATGGAGCTCAATCAAATAGAAGGGTTAGCATAAGAGCCACAATCGATATGTAGTATTTGAATGCCTGTTGTAAGTCGATTCGTTGTAATGAGGATATACATAAACAGTCTCAGATTGACTGAGCTCATTGTGCTCATTGCAGCATGTTCGTGAGCTGTCCCGGAAGCAGTTTCTGCTGCGAGCCCTGATGCAGAAGTGCCGGGAAAAGGCCCAGCTCCCATAGTCAACAAATGGCTCGACTGACTCACAGCTTGAAGGCATCAAAGCCCTACCGCACCAAGATGTCTGGTGCTGGGACAGCTTCGCAATTGCAACGTCATCACACCTGTGTGAACTGTAAAGTTTATTCGTGCAGAAAAGCACGAGAGACAGTCTGGTGTTGGTGCCTGCCAACCACAATGCTCTGTATAAGCTCTCGTGTTATTGATGGGCAGAACATAAATTTTCCTAAACTGTATCTGAGTAGATTCAAATGACCTTGTGGTCTTTGGCATTGCTTCTGAAGCTTCTTTATTTTTTGTGTCGCAGATTTGCTGGTTGGCTACAAATATGTTTACTTAAACTGAAGTTCCGCCTTTGTGCAGATCTTAGAAGAGAGGGGGAAAATGTTGTTTGAAATATAACCTATAGGGGGGGGGGGGGGGTATCAGTCTTATTCACAAAGCAAAATCCTGGTTTCACAACTGTTTATGTATGTAGTAATCGCAGGTTCGTCTGGCATGAGAATCGCAATGGCATGAATTATGAACTTTAAAAACAATCATATTAAAACAGTTTGTTGGGCAAGTTGGTTCATGTCTTGATAAGGAAAAACCATAGTTCTAATGGAACACGAACCTTACTAAAACAAATCTGTGTCGCCATGTTTTGCTTCAAGTACTGTTTTCTCATCTTGGAACAATGCTAGCCTAGCGCTATGGCATTAAGTGACAAACAAAGATAAAAGAAAGTACAGTATGTTTGATGTGTCCAAACCAAATGGTTGTACAGAAGTTGTTCAAATGAAAAGGTATAAAACAACACTGTAGGTATAAATAAACACTTTTTTCAAGGTGTACTCTATATATCTAATTATAACGATTGGATCCTATTGGGATTTTTTGTTTACAGTATTCCTGTAGCCATGATGAGACTCTGTCTTCCACAGTGATGTCGAATTCGTCGTCCAAGGTGAAGTGCTTCATTTTCAAATATTTTTTTACAGGGGACCAATGACAGAAATTGCAGGCAATTAATGGTAGCCGGTTTAGCACACTCCGCTGTCAGAAATTGAATAGCTCCTGGCTGTCTCTAATCGCTGAATTTTGAAATTTGAGTGCCATACTGTTCTTGCTTGGCTGCTGCATGAATAGCTTAGCGCTTTTTAATGAAAGCCTCTGCTTTCTCCTGTGCATGTGTACGTCCCCACATGCTCTGGTTTCTGGCAGATACTCCAATCGCTTGCCTAGATGTCTCACTACGTTTTTCTACAGCAGCTTATGCATCTGTGCGAGTGGTCATGTTGTTATGTTGTTTCATACCTTTTTATTTGAATGCTCCTCGTACTGCCTATGCAGAATTGATGACTGCAGTGCCATATTTTCGTCTGGTAATCTTCGTGCATGGCAGTGCATATGTCAACAATATGTGTCACCTCAATTCTTTGAAACTTTCTGCTGTGTAACAGTGCCACCACTCTATTTTGCAAGAAGACTCCAGAATCTTCACAAGCATTGACAGCAAGTATTTCTTTTTATTTATTGTTACAGCAAAGTTTTTTTTATCTGTAATTTTACCAAAGTCCTTGCTGCTTAAGTGATTACAACACGAGCATTACGAGACTCTTTTAGCACAATCCAGTGCCTCTGTATAAGGCACCATGGTAAATGTATGATATGAATGGTTCGTTTTTAATGTGGCTTGTTTTCACTTTGTAGTAATAAATCTTCCTTGAAATTAAATCGTGTAAATGTTTGAAGTTGATCGTATTGGGAAGGCAGCTGCAGTGAGGCGATGGGTCTTACACGGGCCATTGAGGTTTTATGGCCACAGAAAGTACCCAAGTACACACATTGATTGACACACCTTTTACACTATATTTTAAGGGGCTGTATTGCTCATGTGTATACTTGCTGACTCTTATCAGAAGATACGAATGTGCTGGCAGACTTCATGCCGACAGGAACACGGCCGTCTGCAGTATTAGTAGTGGCCGAGCCGTCTGGTATTGCCTGAACAAAAGCCTTGGAGATGGAGTGATTTCACAACTTTACCCCTATATCAAGGACGCATGCACTGTGTTATCATCAAAAAAATGTGAATTGTAGTGCTCATTATTGTTCCTAGTACAGACAATATCTTTCCTTTATATTGAAATACCACGGTTCAGCTGATGCTTTATTCAAGCAACAGCAAGATAGCGCCGATGATGAAGAGGAACGGGACGAAGACTGATGATGGTTATTGAGAAATGAGGAAGATGACATCCAATGAATTCTTACACTAATTTCCCCCGTCGACAGAAGCGGCCAGCCGGGCCGCGAATTACGCTGTGGAACGCATACGATAGAGCTTGAGACACAAAACGTGCACGATCTCTGTCCCGCGGCAGCGTTGGTCAAATGGGGCGTGAACAGGTGTGACAAGGTAGTTCACTGGTGAGGTCTGTCCGCCAACATTGTAGGGGCCAAGATAGCGTGACTCAAGCTTCTGGCATAAGCCAGGCACTCGCGCAGGAGTTCACAGAAGTACATCGTCGCCAGGGCGGTAGAGAACGACGCGGTGAGTGGCATCGTAATGATGCTTGCAATCTTCTTGGCTAGCTTCGGTGTTTACACGGGCAAGACGACGGCATTGAGCAACACGAGACAGAAACTGGTCGCAAACGAATGGTGAAGAGTTGATGGGGCCAGAAAAGAATGAAACCTCGAGTGGTGATGTCGGTTGGCATCCGTATACTAGGAAAAATGAAGATTAGCCTGTGGTTCGTTCAACTGACGTATTATATGCATACGTGACAAAGGGAAGTATGGCATCCCAATTGCGATGGTCCGGTCGGATATACATGGACAGCATGTCACAAAGCGTGCGATGAAATCTTTCCGCTAAGCCATTGGTTTGCGAGTGGTAGCTAGATGTTGTTTTATGAACTGTTCTTGATGCTTGAAGAACTTCACTGAGCGTGCTTGAAAGAAATGCCTTGCCTCGGTCGCTCAAAAGAACACGAGGGGCTCCGTGACGTAGGTAAATAGCATTCAACAAGAAAGTTGCTACTTCCGAAGCAGTTCCTGAAGTGATCGAGGCCGTTTCAGCGTACCGGGTGAAGTGATCAACCGCGGTGACGATCCATCTCTTGCCGTCTGATGTAGTTGGGAGGGGCCCGAAGAGGTCAATTCCGATGACAGAGAACGGCTCTGGTGGACAAGGAAGTGGTTGTAGGGTAGGGTCCCGACTGGAGCCGTAGTGGGCCGCTTGCGGTATTGGCAAAGTGCGCACGAGGCAATATATTTAGCTACCGTCGTGGAGAGACCTGGCCAGAAGAATCGACTGCGGATGCGCTCGTATGTTTTGTAGTATCCCAGGCGTTCTGACGTCGGGTCGTTGTGGGAAGCGCGTAGAACTTCAGTGCATAGTGCGCGTGGTACGACGGAAACCCATCGGTGGGCTTCCGGGTGGAAAATGTATCGATATTGCAAATCGTCCTCCAACTTGAATAGTCGGTGTTGTTTCCGGAGCCTGGCATTAGGGGAAGATGAAGCGCCAGTAAGCCGACCGATGATGCCAGTGCAATAAGAATCTGCTCGCTGGTGAGTGGTAAGTACTGACGGATGGGTGGATGAAGGTAGGGAAGAAATGGATGATATCGATGAGGCGTCCTCCGTATAGCCAATTTGACAAGGGGATGTGACGTGCGCCGAAGACTGCGGCAAAGGGCATCGTGACAAAGTGTCGCCATCTTGGTGTTGTCTTCCAGTCTTGTAGATGACGTCAAAGTCATAAGATTGTAATCGGAGAATCCAGGGGCCAAGTCGTCCCGACAAGTTTTTGATTGTGGACAGGCAGCAAAGAGCATGGTGGTCTGTCACAACAGTAAAATGTCAACCATGTAGATACGGATGAAATTTTTGAATGGACCGGACAACAGCCAAGCACTCTTGTTCGGTTATCGTGTACCTCTTCTCTCCAGAGGTCAGAGTGCGGCTTGCATACGCGACAACTTTCTCGTGAAAGGCATGGTCGCGCTGGAGGAGTACGGCGCCGATTCCTTGTCCACTAGCGTCAGTGTGTAATATCGTAGGTGCCTTGTCATAGAAATAACAGAGCACCGATGGGGATGTCAGTGCCTGCTTGAGTTCTTGAAATGAGGCTTCACATTGGTCATTCCAATCGAAAGAACCGGTACTAACAAGGAGCTTGTGGAGAGGAGCGGCAATAGTGGCAAAGTTGCGAATGAAACGGCGAAAGTACGATGCGAGTCCAAGGAAACTGCATAGTTCTTTGGAACAAAAGGGTCGCGGAAAGTTGAGGACTGCGGAAATTTTGTCCGGATTGGGCTGGATGCCATCTTTACTAACGAGATGTCCTAGAACATTTATAGCTGTGTTGCCGAAATGGCACTTCTTTGTGTTTAGCTGAAGTCCAGCATTGGAGAGACATGTGAGCACTTGATCTAGGCGTTGCAGATTATCAGCAAAAGTGGAAGAAAACACGACGATATCATCGCGGTAGCATAGACAAGTTTTCCACTTGAGGCCACGAAGAACAGTGTCGATCATCCTTTCAAATGTGGCGGGAGCATTACATAGGCCGATTGGCATTACGTTAAACTCGTAAAGACCGTCCGGCGTAGAAAAGGCGGTCTTTTCTTTCTCTGCTTCATTCATTGGTATTTGTCAATACCTGGACCGAAGGTCAAAGGTGGAGAAGTATTGGGCGCCTTGCAATGAGTCAAGTGCATCATCTATACGGGGCATAGGATATACATCCTTTCGGGTAATCTTGTTGAGCGCGTGGTAATCAACACAAAATCGTACCAATTCATCCTCCTTTTGTACCAACACAACCGATGATGACCAAGAACTGGTAAAGGGTCGTATGATGTTTCTTTTTAGCATATCAGTCACGTTCTTCTTGATGATTTTGCGATCGGCCAAGGAGACCCGGTAGGGACGACGGCGTACAACAGTCCGCCCTTCAGTGTGGATGCGATGATGTGGAACTGTGGTCTGTCCTAGTGCCGAAGCATTGGCGTTGAAGGAGGCCTAGTGTTTCGTTAGCAAATTTAGCAACGCCTCAGGTTGAGAAGCAGAAAGGTCAGGATTTATCCCGGGAGCAAAGGAGGAGGAAGTAACAGACTGGGCCTGTTGTGGATGAGCTGTCGAGGCGTCAAGGGAGACCAAAGATGCTGGTTGGGTATCCACATACCACGACATTGCAGAACCTTGGGTTAGGAGGACAGGCTCTGGGGTAGGGTTCAGGCCAAGGATTATTGCCGCACTGCCTTTGAACCGCACCAGGCTGGAGGGGACTACAACGCTGCGAGCTAGACAGTTGCTGGAAGAGGTGATAAGGATGTCACCATTGACAATATTCAGAGAAGTGTTGCTGATGAGTTGCTCCTGACCCGGGAGCAGTATGGATTCGGAAGCTGTGAGTAAACGCAATGGTTTTTCGTCGACACGTTCACTGCAGTGATCGGTCTCGGTCATTTCGACTACACGTTGACGGCAAGAAATTAATGCAGATGCTGATGAGAGAAAGTCCCAACCTAAAATTAGTTCATGAGCACATGAAATTAAGACAGCGAAGGTGATGTGATGACGAATACCATCAATGAAGACACGCGCTGTACATTAGGCCGATGGTCTACTTATTGCTCCATTGGCCCCAATCAACGATGATTCAAGGTAGGGTGTCTTAACTTTCTGCAATCGAGAACACAAGTCGGCACGCATAACTGAAATAGTTGCTCCCGCGTCCACCAAAGCCAACACCCGCACACTTTGCACAGTTACCAATAACAGGTTTGAGGGTCGTTCTGGAGGACTTGGGTCATTTCGCCGCGATGCAGTTTTCCCTCCAAAAACTGCACTGTTTAGTTTTCCGATCATTGGGCAGCCAGTTGAGAGACAGGCCGAAGTGGTGAAATAGAGCGTCGGAGTGGCGAAGGGGAGCGTGGTCGGGAGGCACGTGTATTGTTGGTCGTGTTGGAAATGCGCACAGGAGACGGGGATCGGTGGTTGGAAGGACTGTCGGCATAACGGTAGTAACCTCGAGCACATGTGTCGTCTCATTCAAAAGCGGCATAACCACGACGTTCATCTTGCTGCCGACATCGACAAACCCGGGAAATGTGTCCTGGAATTCCACAGTAGTAGCAAATAAGCCGTGGGACCCGCCAGGAAGAATGGTAGGTAGGGTTCGGTGGACGGGCGACTAGAGGTGCGAGATGTTCTTGATCAGGCACAGGTGGTGGTACTTGAGACGGCGAGGGTTGCATTGAAGCGATCTGTGCATACGAAGCGGGTTGGGGGCATGGTGGAGCACGGTGGGTGCTTTGAAATGCTGACATTTCTTCCCTAATAATGCCACGCAGATCGCTAGAGGCCGGTTGAGGGGGAACGTTGTTAGAAGGAGGTAAACTGTAGGCTTGCGATTCCTCACGAATTATGGCTCGTATGATGGATCGGAGCTCCATACTGTTTGCCAGGGGGTTCTCAGTGATGTCGGGTCGCAGGCGGATTGACTGCAAGGTATCAAGCCGCTGGCATAGTGAGACGACGTCGGAAACCGTCGAACGGTTTTGCGCGACGAGGGCGTTGAAAGCGGTAGGTCCGATACCCTTCAGAAGGTGCTGGACAGGATCACCTTCTGGCATGGTGTCGTCGATACGGCGGCAAAGTGCAAGCACATCCTTAATATAGGAAGCGTAGCACTCACCGCAATGTTGAACGCGTTCTGC